TGTTGCTTAGGCTAGAGTGCAGTGGCACAAATCAGAGTTAACTGCAGCCTCAAACTCCTGAACTCAAGCAATCCTCCAGCCTCAGCCTCCCAAGTAGTTGGGACCACAGTTGGGAACCACTACACTTGGCCCTATGGGGTTTTTTCTATTTGTTTGTTTTTTTGTTTTAAGACAGAATTTTGCTCTTGTTGCCCAGGCTGGAGTGCAATGGCGCGATCTCAATGCACCGCAACCTCTGCCTCCCAGGTTCAAGCGATTCTCCTGCCTCAGCCTCCCGAGTAGCTGGGACTACAGGCATGCACCACCACGCTCGGCTAATTCTGTACTTTTAGTAGAGTCAGGGTTTCTCCATGTTGGTGGTCAGGCTGGTCTTGAACTCCTGACCTCTGCCCATCTCGGCCTCCCAAAGTGCTGGGATTACAGGCATGAGCCACCGTGCCCAGCCATTTGTTTGTTTTTTTGAGACAGGGTCTCACTCTGTTGCCCAGGCTGGAGTGCAGTGGCATGAACATGGCTTACTGCAGGCTTGACCTCCCAGGCTCAAGCAGTCCTCCCTTCTCAGCCTCCTGAATAGCTGGGACTACAGGAACACATCACCGCACCTGGCTGATTTTTACATTTTTTTAGAGCCAGGGTCTTACCATGTTGCCCAGGCTGGTCTCAAACTCCTGGGCTCAAGTGATCCTCCCACCTCAGCCTCCCAAAGTGCTGGGGTTATAGGCATGAGCCACTGTACCCAGACCCCTTCAGGGTCTTATCTTTATAAGGGGTGTCTTATCTTTATAAGGCATGGGGGATGGTCAGCACCTTTCTCATTGTCACCTCTACCTTCCCTAGGTATGTGCAGGTGAAATTTGTCTGCATTCGGACCCAGTCAAACAGGAGGAGAACCCAGGAGGCAGACATATGCCCAGCGTACTTGCTCCTAAGGTACAACGAGAGACTAGATAGACTATTTATCAGTGAACTGAACACACAGCACATACATAGTGACTCTAAAGTGGCTAGTCTTGGAGGAGATACCACTGGCAAATCTCAAAAGACAATGTACCTGCAGAGATTCCAGCCTGTGCAGCCCACAAGCAAAAAAGACCTTGACACTGCCGATAAGTCCCTGGTTGAGCCATCGTTTTGCCTAGATAAGGTACAAGTGTCCTCAAAGCCAGAGCAGGAAGGCATCACTCCTTCTGACCTGGCCAAGATAGCAAAAGTGATGAAGAACTTTCTTAAGGTAGATGAGGGTTCCATGGCTTCCTTTAGTGTGGGTGACAGCCAACACCTGGACCGACTCAGCTTCCAGAGCAGTAAGATGAGCGACCTGTTCATCCGCTTTCCAGAGAATCTCTTGCTACACCGGGTGGAGAACACCCAGGGCCACATCCTCTATGCTTTCTTGGTGGAGAACAAGGAACGAGAAAGTCGAGTGGTGCACTTTGCTGTGCTCAAGGCGGAGACAGCCACCTCTGTGGCCAAGATGCTGAGCATCTTCACAGAGTTCAACTCCGATTGGCCCAAGGTCAAGGTGGTCTTTGTGGACCCTTCATTCCATCACCGGGCTATCCTGCAGGAGATCTTTCCTGCTGCCCGCATCCTCCTTTCCATCTACCACACAACCCGACTCTTGGAGAAGAAGTTGCATCGTAGTTCAGCAAATCCATCCTTTAAAAGGCTCATGAAGGAAGCCCTGCGGGAGGCTGTGTTTGTCACTTCCGAAGCCAGCCTGAAAAATCTCTGCCAGATGTCCCAGGCCCTACTGGATGAGGATCTCTTCAATTTCCTGCAGGCCCACTGGTTCACCTGTGAACTGCTGTGGTACATGCATGTTAGGAAGGGCCTGCTTGCGTGTAACACCTACATGGACAGCCTAGACATTGTCACCAGCAAGGTGTCAAGCCTCTTTCGGGAACAGCAGTCCCTGCTGGACTGCATCCTCTGCTTTGTGGATTACATAGACTTCTTTAATACCAAAGGCTTGAAGAACTTGCCCACAGCTCCTCCCAAGTTAAAGAGAGCTCGGCCAGCAAGCATGCCACTGAAGTCCAAGAAGACTTTTGGAATCTGTGGAGAAAGCCTTACCAGCCTCCCTGTAGAAGAGACCAAGCCAGACTCACAGCAGGTACAGGTGCAGCAGCGGTCACAGGTGCCACCCTCGCAGGTTGGCATGCTGGACACCTTGCACCAGAGTGGCTCTGAACTAGCCTACAAGCTGTGCCACAATGAGTGGGAGGTGGTACAGAACTCCACCCAGCTGGTGGACATGGCTGGCTCTTCAGTGGACGTTCAGCTGCTAGAGGACTCTCACCAGGTTAGCAAAGATGGCTGTAGCTGCAGCTGTTCCTTTCAACAATGGTACCACCTGCCATGCCGACACATTTTGGCTCTGCTGCACACCAGCCAGCAGCCGGTTGGTGAAGCCATGGTGTGCCGCCGGTGGCAGAAGAAGTACCAGCACCTCCTTGGGCCCAATGGGGAGCTCCAGGATCATAGCGTGGTCCCAAACACAGGCCAGCCTGAGAAGCAGGGACGGAACGACATGATTCAGGACCTAAGCAGGGAGTTAGCAAACCTGCTCATGCAGACTGAGGGGCAAGAGCTGGAGGAGCGCTATTCCACCCTGCGCAAGATTGTGGATATCTGGGCTGACCCCTCCCAGCCATCTGAGTTCCTTCAGCAGCCAGGAGACTTTAAGGATGTGGGCAGCCTCCCTTTCCTCTGGGGAAAGCAAGAAGAAGGGGAGGGATTCCCTCCCGCTACAGCTGTGATGCATTATTGAAGCACTTTAGCTGAGGCATTGGACCACAAACACTTCTCCTTGGAAGTGTGAGAGTTTAAAGTGGGCAGGACATGCTAGGGGTCAGCATTTTAGCCAATGTCTTCCTAGGTAGGGCTAGGAATATTGTTACAGTAGAGAGGAAAGGAACGCCACTGTGTGACAGTCCTTTCAATCTGCCCTTTTCAGCCCTACTTTTCGCATTCCTTGGGAGCCTCAGTTGTTGTTCAAGGCCAAAGTTCTCTCCGTGCTGCAAGGTCACCCTCTTCCTCCCCCAGCCCCTGAGATCAGATCTTATTTGCCCTGCAAAGATGAATCCCTGCCTCAGGATAGGGTGAGACAAAATCGGTCTGGTAAAAGGGCCTGTTTTCAGGGACAAAGGGAATGAGGATGATCTTTGGCTGTTGCTGCTCTTTATGAAGAATCTTATTTGTAACTTTTTATTCATATTAAAGTTGTTTTTAATAAAATTAAACAAGGGAAATGTGTTCTGCTTGATCAGGGAAGGAAGAGGAATTGCATAGCAATAGGACTCGACTTTACAGTTAGGAAGTGGATGCTCTAGGGTGGATTTATTAATTTTAAAGAAAATTGAGGCCGGGCGTAGTGGCTCATGCCCATAATCCCAGCATTTGGGATGTCGAGGTGGGTGGATCATCTGAGGTCAGGAGTTTGAGACCAGCCTGGCCAACATGGTGAAACCCTGTTCTACTAAAAATACGAAAATTAGCCAGGCACGGTGGTCCACCTATAATCCCAGCTACTTGAGAGACTGAGGCAGGAGAATCACTTGAACCCAGGAGGCAGAGGTTGCAGTGAGCCTAGATCGCGCCACTGCACTCCAGCCTGGGTGACAAAATGAGACTCTATCTCAAAAAAAAAGGGAAAATTGAGTATTAGCAACCTAATGGGGTTGTGGAGCCAAATAGAACCTGGTGCCTCACATTCAGGGATTTAGCAATCTGCCTCTTACCTTGCCCCCTTCCTACAACCAAGCTTTCAAGGTTGATCTCAGGTTGCCTTATGTTCTAGTGGGAAGAGGCCAAATAGACGGGAGGGTGTGGGGGAAAAAAACCTGAATCTTATACCTGACTGGCAGCAACTTACTGGAGAACTGTGGGCAATTTCTTTGACCTCAGTTTCCTCTGTAAAAATTAGCATGTTGACCTGTTCTAATCCCAAATTTCCCCTCTAGGTTTACATAAGCACCTTTTTTTTTTCTTTCTTTCTTTCTTTCCTAATGAGATGGAGTTTCGCTCTTGTTGCTTGTTGCCCAGGCTGGAGTGCAATGGCAGAATCTCGGGTCACTGCAACCTCCGCCTCCTGGGTTCAAGCGATTCTCTTGCCTCAGCCTCCCGAGTAGTTGGGATTACAAGCATGTGCCACCACGCCTGGCTAATTTTTTGTATTTAGAGAAGGGGTTTCACCATGTTGGTCCGCCTGGTCTTGAACTCCTCATCTCAGACAATCCACCTGCTTCGGCCTCCCAAAGTGCTGGGATTAAAGGCATGACCTACTGCACCCGGCCCAATAACATTGTTGATGCGAAGTACCAACACTGATTTGATGTTGCTAGTTGGTAAACTTAATCCTCCAAGGCCTGGTAAACACCCAGCTTTCTAAGTCTGCCATCTTCAAGGGAACTGAGGACAAGAGACCAGTCAGTAGGCCCTTACACTAGTGTAGTAGGACCCTAAATAAGTCATGGCACCATTCTGAAGAATACTGGAGGGGGTCGGGCTAGCAAATGCCAAATTTTGGCTTGTTTAAGGGGATCTGGATTTCCTCAGCTCTAAAAGTTGGGCTCCCGATCCCCGAAGGAGCAGTAGAATTTGAGACCTGGAACTCAGTTTCCTCATAAGGTAGAATATGCATTACGACTATATATGCACCGTTTCCTAAACTGCAGGGGCTTTAGAGTCTGACACGCACACATACACAGAACAAACCAAAACAAAAAATCGCAGTGGCTCACGCCTGTAATCCCAGCACTTTGAGAGGCTGAGGTGGGCGAATCACGAGGTCAGGAGTTCGAGACCAGTCTGGCCAACAGGGTGAAACCCCATCTCTACTAAAAATGCAAAAAATCAACTGGGCTTGGTGGCAGGTGCCTGTAATCCCAGCTACTCAGGAGGCTGAGGCAGGAGAATCATCACTTGAACACGGGAGGTGGTGGTCGCAGTGAGCCGAGATCGTGCCACTGCACTCCATCCCAGGCGACAGTGCGAGACTCCATCTCAAAAAAAAAAAAAAATCTATAAAATTGCTATTTATTTTCCTTTTCATTTTCTGCCTTTGAAGGAGCTTCCATAGTAACGTGTCCTTCCAGTCGCCTAGCCTGAAGGGAGGCCCCAGAGCTCCAGCTTCAAGGCTCGGCTCTCCCAGATGCAAGTATCATTAGACTCTCGTTGGTTACCGCCGAGCCCCTTGTAACCCTGGCAACACTGCCCGCCCGCGAATCGTCGCGCTACGATTGGTCCATGGCGCTAAAGCCTGAAAGTGAATTCCTCAGACATTGGCCCGAGTCACTGCGATGCTGACACCGTGGTTGGTGAGTTTGGATGTCAGTCAGAGTCGGAGGCAGGGTCAAATAGGGAGAAATGGCGACGGAGCCAGGCTGTGGGTGAGTGATTCCTGAAGGGGTGGAAGTGTGAGACAGTGGATCACCGCAGTCAGCCGTCATACAGCTCCCAAAGGGGTGTGAGGGAGGTTTTCTTCTCATCCGGCTCCAGCTGGACTCGGAACGTCAGACATCCACATCTCCCACCCAGGTTAGAGGTGAGAGGTCAAAGGCCGTATTCCCTCTCTGTTGGTTTTTGGACCCCAGGTGCTGTGGACAGCGGTCAGGATCCGGAACCAAAGACTCAGCTTTCAGCTACTTACAGAGTAATGGTGGGCAAGTCATTTAGCTTCTTTGAGCTTTAGTTTATCATCTGTAAAATGAGGACGGTAACTCGGTCTGGGGCCAAATAGAGAAAACGCTGGAATAGACCATTGCTGCTAAAAGAGGGATATAGTAGAGGCAGGAGAAGCTATGTACATTTGTTAGCCATATTTTATGATGGAAGGGATTGAGGCTCAGAGAGGGTCACTGACTTGCCCAAGATCACACAGCAAGTTTGGAGCAATTGCAGTTCAAGTCTTATGCATACCAGGACCAAAGGAAAGAATGGATGCCGATCAGTCATTTATAAATATAAAATCATATTTTTATTTTATTTTATTTTTTGAGACGGAGTTTCACTCTGTCACCCAGAGCTGGAGTGCAGTGGCGCAACCTCGGCCTCCTGGGTTCAAGCGAGTCTCCTGCCTCAGCCTCCCGAGTAGCTGAGACTACAGGCATGGGCCACCATGCCCGGCTAATTCTTTTTGTATTTTGAGTAGAGACAGGGTTTCACCATGTTGGCCAGGCTGGTCTCGAACTCCCAACCTCAAGTTATCTGCCCACCTTGGCCTCTCAGAGTGCTGGGATTACAAGCATGAGCCACTGCACCTGGCCAGAATGCTATTTTTTTTAAAAGGCCATATGCAGCTCTGGCCGTACCTATTTAAATCCCCTGTAACCATATCTTTCCATAGCTAGCTTCTTATCATTTAGATCTCAGCTCCAATATCATCCTTCTCCCCTGAGAGGCCTTCCATTAGCACTTTAACTAAAGTATCCCACCCTTCCCCAGCTTACTCTCTGACATGTTACTCAGGTTTATGGTCCTTGTAAGCTTCATTATTGGATATATTTTTGCTTATTTGTTTACATGTTTATTGTGTATCTTCCCCTAGAACAGTGCTGACATATAGTAAGTGTTCAACAAATATTGTGTGGATGAATAATTGAAGAGCCAGGTGCCTGCTGTCTCCTTAAACCTCTGTTCCTCTCCATAGGCCCGTCTTTGGAAAAAGATCTGGGAATGATTGTCTAGCCTCAAGCCTCAACTTACTTGAAGCTTGAGAGACTCAAAGCCTCATGGACAGCTGCCCTGCAAAGAAAGTATTTTGACCTTGGCATTTGGACATCTCCCATCTCCCCCATGGCCCTGACAATGCTGAATGGGCTCCTAATTAAGGACTCGAGCCCACCTATGCTGCTGCACCAGGTTAATAAGACTGCCCAGTTAGATACCTTCAACTACCAGAGCTGCTTTATGCAGAGTATCTTTGACCATTTCCCTGAGATCTTATTTATCCACCGGACCTATAACCCAAGGGGTAAGGTCTTATATACCTTCCTGGTGGATGGACCTCGGGTGCAACTGGAGGGTCATCTTGCCCGAGCAGTCTACTTTGCCATCCCTGCCAAGGAGGACACTGAAGGCCTGGCCCAGATGTTTCAGGTATTCAAGAAGTTTAACCCAGCATGGGAGAGAGTCTGTACCATCCTGGTGGATCCCCATTTCCTTCCACTGCCCACCCTAGCCATGGAGTTCCCCGTAGCTGAGGTCCTGCTCTCAGCCTTCCACATTTGTAAGTTCCTCCAGGCCAAGTTCTATCAGCTGTCCCTTGAACGACCCATGGAAAGGCTGCTTCTGACCTCCCTGCAGAGCACAATGTGCTCAGCCACAGCAGGCAACCTGAGAAAGTTGTACACACTCCTGAGCAACTGCATCCCCCCAGCCAAGCTGCCCGAGCTTCACTCACACTGGCTGCTCAACGACCGCATCTGGCTGGCTCACCGCTGGAGAAGCCGAGCTGAGAGCAGCCGCTACTTCCAGAGCCTTGAGGTCACCACCCGCATCCTCAGCCAATTCTTTGGCACCACCCCATCTGAGAAACAAGGTATGGCTTCTCTGTTCCGTTACATGCAGCAGAACTCTGCAGACATGGCAAACTTCAACCAGGGCCTGTGTGCCCAGAACAATCATGCCCCCTCAGACACCATCCCCGAAAGCCCCAAAGTGGAGCAGCTGGTAGAATCCCATATCCAGCACTCCCTTAATGCCATCTGCACAGGGCCAGCAGCCCAACTCTGCCTGGGCGAGCTTGCTGTGGTCCAGAAATCCACACACCTCATTGGCTCTGGCTCAGAAAAGATGAACATACAGATCCTGGAAGATACCCACAAGGTGCAGCCCCAGCCCCCTGCCAGCTGCAGCTGCTACTTTAACCAGGCCTTCCACCTGCCCTGCCGCCACATCCTAGCCATGCTCAGCGCCCGCCGCCAGGTGCTCCAGCCCGACATGCTGCCGGCTCAGTGGACAGCAGGCTGTGCCACCAGTCTAGACAGCATCCTGGGCAGCAAGTGGAGTGAGACCCTGGATAAGCACCTGGCAGTGACTCACCTCACTGAGGAGGTGGGTCAGCTGTTGCAGCACTGCAGCAAGGAGGAGTTTGAGCGGAGGTACAGCACCCTGCGGGAACTGGCTGACAGCTGGATTGGGCCTTATGAGCAGGTCCAACTCTGATTATTCTCGATGCCCAGAGATGCTCATGCACCTGTACACACTGCACACTCACATCCACCCGTACACACACACACACACACTCTCTCTCACACTTACACTGTTGTATTTCCATGGGCCCTCCCTCCAGAATAAGGACAAGGTTCAAGGGTCTTCTCATCTACCATGGCCTGCTACCTAGCATGTGTCTAGCTCAGTGAGACAGGAGTCAGCAGATCTTATCTGTTTAGTTTACTCAGGTGGCCACATACAGTCTCTATTGTATATTCTTGGTTTTGTTTTAACATTTTCATAAGGTAAAAAACATTCTTAGCTCAAAGGTCTTATAAAAACAGGCAATCCAGCTGGGCGTGGTGGCTCACGCCTGTAATCCCAGCACTTCGGGAGGCTGAGGTGGACAGATCCCTTGAGGTCAGGAGTTCAAGACCAGCCTGGCCAACATAGTGAAACCCCGTCTCTACTAAAAATACAGAAATTAGCCAGGCATGGTGGCGGGCACCTATAATCCCAGCTACCCAGGAGACGGAGGCAGGAGAATCGCTTGAACCTGGGAGGTAGAGGTTGCAGTAGGCCAAGATCCTGCTGCCACTGCACTCCAGCCTGGGAGGGAGAGACTCCATCTAAAAATAAAATAACGGCAACCCCTGGTCTAAGATAAGAGATAAAACATCAGGTTGAGGTTTGGGGCGTGGTAGCAATTGCCCTAGTCATGAGATGACTCACTTAACCCATCTCCTTTGAGTGAACTGGGCTGGGAGGCTTCCTACAGGGGAAGAGGCCCCTCTGGGGAGGAGCTGGCTCAGCCAGGCTCCCTGAACTTCTTTCCTTGTCCTATCCTGGGGTCAATAAAACTGAATGCTGCATATTCTATCACTTGTCTAGTTTTTTCTTTGCTCCATAGAAGGCAGTTTAGAGTATATCATGGAAAGAATAGACTTTAGAGTGTTATACAACATGTGAATCCTGGTTGATTCCTTCCCTGCTTGATTTTTGTGCCTGGTTCTGCCTTTTACTAGCCATGAGTCTTATTAGGGTAAGTTACCCCTCTAAACCTCAACCCGATTGTCTGTAAAAATGGGGATTTCCACAGGGTACGTTTACAGAGCAGGCATACCTAGTGGGTGCTCAATTAAGTATTAATTTTCCTTCCTTGCCTATGATCCTATGATCTGCTTTCAACATGCTGGAAAATTTAAGGCAAGAGGAGAATTCACATGACTAGGACTTAATATAAGAAATTCTGGTCAGGCGTGGTGGCTCACACCTGTAATCCCAGCACTTTGAGAGGCCAAGGCGGGCGGATCACCTGAGGTCGGGAGTTTGAGATCAGCGTGACCAACATGGTGAAACTGTGTCTCTACTAAAAATACAAAAATTAGCTGGGCGTAGTGGCAGGCACCTGTAATCCCAGCTACTCGAGAAGCTGAGGCAGGAGAATCGCATGAACCTGGGAGGCAGAGGTTGCAGTGAGCCGAGATCACGCCATTGCACTCCAGCCTGGGTGACAAAGCAAGGCTGTGTCTAAAAAATAAAAATTAAAAAAAAAAAAAAAAAGAAATTCTGGGTAGGCCAGGTACGGTGGCTCACGCCTATAATCCCAACACCTTGGGAGGCCAAAACAGGCAGATTAGAGCAGCCAGGGCAGCATGGCAAAACCCCTTCTCTACAATAAATACAAAAATTCGCTGGATGTAGCACGTGCCTGTAGTCCCAGCTACTCAGGAAGGCTGAGGTGGGAAGATCACTTGTGCCCAGGAGGTTGAGGCTGCAGTGAGCTGTGATCATGCCACTGCACTCCAGCATGGGTGACAGAGTAAGACCCTATCTCAAAAAAAAAAAAAATCTAATCAAGTCTTCAAAACATAAAAGCAGCCTCAACTCTCCAAGCAGGGGCGCCTACCTCACATAATTTCCATTGTATATACCTGACAAAACCTATCTCCTGTCTTAGTGGTATCTGGAGAAACTTTAGGGTCTGGAAGTCCCTGATGAAGGACTGGAATTTGTCAGAATGGCTCAACCACCAGCTCTATCCCCATCCCTGCCATAGGCCCTCCTCCCAACCCTGTCTGCCCAAGAACCATACAGAGAAGCCACCCTACGTAACTGGTGCTATTTCATCCATCTACAAGCAGGAGCCAGAAGGCTGGCCCCTCTTAGATCTCACTAGCGGCATCTTCCCAGAGGCTGTGTGGGCATGTGCCTGCTCCCACCGCGCCCCCTCCACAGCACCCTCTGGGTCCGGATGGGCCATCATAAAAGCTTGAGCAGCCCAGATCAGGTCCTCTTCCCGAACGCCTGGGACGGGCACGGTGGGGATGCCAGCAATCATCATAGCGAGGGTGAGGATGCAGATGTCAGGCTGGGAGCTGGCCTCCTTCCCCACTGCCTCAGAGGGTACCGGTAGAACCCTTGGTGACAGCCCACACAGCATCAGGGGCCTAGGCCTGCTGGGGCTACCCAGGTCGGGGGCTCTGCTTCTGGAGTAGCCATTGTCCCAGCCCAAGCTCTCCGGCTGCCTCACATGCGGGAATTTGTGGCAGTTTCGGCTGTATTCCTTCCGTAGTGTCTCCCAGCTAGTCCCCCCAGGGCAGCCCCTGGCTTGTGGCATTGCCAGGGCTGGGCCCCAGGCCTGGGCAGCAGGTGCCACCTGCTCAGCTTTCTGGCTCAGTGGGCCTGTTCCGCCAGAGGCCACCACCACTGGCTCTATAGGACTACAGAGGCCAAGGGACAGGCCTGGAGAAGCAGTCCCACCTGCAGAGACAGGAATGAAATGGAACGTTATTCTCGGTCTCTTTGAGGAGGGGCCCCCGAGGGGCAGGGCATGGGAGCAGAGCTTGGGGGAGTAACAGACCAGCCCCAGTGGACTGTCTAGAGGTTGGGAACTAGGTGTTACTCATATCCATACTCCCAGTCCCCAACACAGAGTAGGTGATGGAGAAGTGTTTGTTGAATTAATGAATAGTGAGCAAGCAGGTAGTTATTGATTGGCAAGGACATTTGGAATGGCTTTTCTTCTAAAAGAATTGATTCTAGGGCCAGCCCCCAAATGCCCAGCAGAACCACCACCTCCCCAGAGCCAGAAAGCAACTTCTCAGGGGAAGCTGCCGCGCTCCCTCCAATTGCAGGTGCCCCCTGCTCACCTTGGCCAGAAGGCAGAGGACCTGGATGAGTTTGTGGAGTCCTGAAGTAGGACATGGCTTCCCCAGAGCCCTGGTTTGTGAGGGAATAGTAATCTGCCTCCTATCCTCCCTTCTTCGCCCTTCTAGAACGTCACCTCATAGACCCTCCTCTTTACACTTGGAACCCACCTTACAGCGTTGACCTATTCATTCTAGAACCTGAACATGACAATAGGATGAGGTTAAAAGAGCACCAGACCAGGAGCTGGGTGTTCTAGGTTCTTGCCCTAACCTTGGATGAGTCACCCGGACAGTTTTGTTCCTTGATATCCTTATATGTAAAGTGGGTCTGATGACTGCCCACTATCTTATTAGAAGTTTTGAGGATGAAATGAGGTCATTTGTATAGAAGCAAATGACCAGAGATGGAAATACAGGAGCCAAGTGCTTTGTGCCTTGTAGAGTAAGACTTGGGGCCAGACCCAGTATTAGTATTTTTCTTTTTCTTTTTTTTGAGATGGAGTCTCACTTTGTCACCATGGCTGGAAGGCTGGAGTGCAATGGCAAGACCTCAGCTCACTGCAACCTCTGCCTCCTGGGTTCATGTGATTTTCCTACCTCAGCCTCCCAAGTAGCTGGGACTACAGGCACCCGCCACCATGCCTGGCTAACTTTTGTATTTTTAGTAGAGACAGGGTTTCACCATTTTGGCCAGGCTGGTCTCAAACTCCTGACCTCAAGTGATCCGCCCACCTTGGCCTCCCAAAGTGCTGGGATTACAGGCCAGGTATTGGTCTTTTTCAAAGTTCCTCAAGTGATTATAATATATGACAAAGTTGGAACCTCTATTCTAGGGACATACTTCTCAACCCTGGCTGTACATGAGAATCTCTTGAGAAGCTTTTACAAAAAAACAATGTCTAGGCCTAATTTCCCAACAAATCAAATACAAATCCTTAGGGATGGGATGTGGGACACCAGCACTCTTTACGTATCTTAAGATGACTCTAACAAGCAGCCAGCCTAGGAACCCCTGCTCTCTTGCTCCGACCTGCTGACCTGCAGTGATTCTAAACGAAGTGCCTCTCCTAGGCTGGAGGGCAAGGAGACCTTCCAATGATCAAGATGTCAGCATTGGCTGTTTATTTCTGGTCCTGGTTGGCAGCAATATGGCCAACTTCAGACCAGCCAGCCACAGGTCTGAGGCCCCAGGATGCAGCTCTGCTCCGGTGCGCTGCGGGTCTTCACTCATACTTGCAGAAATCCTTAAGTTCTTTGGGCAGGTGGAGCCCATCAATGGCCAGCCGGTGCACCATGCTTCTCTGTATCACTAGGCGGCACAGAGTCTGCAGGGACGGCACTGTGGGAAGAAGACTGTGAAAGGCAAACTGAACTGGAGGGTGGGTCTGAGGCCAAGACCCAGAAGATCTAGGTCATGGTCCTCACTTTGCCATTAAATGTGGGCAAGTCGTTACTGTTCTCTGGGCCCAGCCTGCTTCATGGAGCTGTTCATGGGGCCGAGAGAAGCACCTCTTCCCAAGGGCTATCACAAAGCTGCAACCCTGTTTATATCATAACACAGCACAATCCCTTCCCCGTTCACTTAGCAGCTTCTGGGGGCAGAAGTAGTGTCTGATTTGCCTGTGCAACTGCAGCCTCCAGTACAGGCCTGGCACAAAGAGGGTTCTGGTGCACTGAATTCATGAAATGTGATCAGAGGTATAACTACAATGCTTACCAGGGGTATAATGAATCATACCTCAGCATTAAAAAGCTCTCAGTCTGGGGTTTGTTTTTCCTCGAAGCCAATATGCCCAAGTCTATAAGCGTGTTTCTTTCTTTTTTTTATTTAAAGAGAGAGGGTCTTGCTCTGTCACCCAGGCTGAAGTGCAGTGGTCAGTGAAGTGCAGCCTTCAATTCTTGGGCTCAAGCGATCCTCCTGCTTTAGCCTCCCAAATAGCTGGGACTACAGGCATGCACCACCATGCCCAGATAATTATTTAATTTTTTGTACAGAAGGGGTCTCACTTTGTTGCCCAGGCTTGAGCTTCGCTTCCCTCCCCTCCCCTCCCCTTCCCTTCCCTTCCTTGCCTGCCTGCCTTCTCTCTCTCTCTCTCTCTCTCTCTTCCTTTCTTTCTTTTTTTTTTTTTTTTTTCTTTTTCAGAGTCTCACTCTGTTGCCTAGGCTGGAGCGCACTGGTGAGATCTCGGCTCATTGCAACCTCCACCTCTCAGGTTCAAGTGATTCTCTGCCTCAGCCTCCCGAATAGCTGGGATTATAGGCACATGCCACCACACCCAGCTAATTTTTGTATTTTTAGTAGAGACAGGCTTTCACCATGTTGGCCAGGCTGGTCTCAAACTCCTGGCCTCAAATGATCCGCCTGCCTCGGCCTCCCAAAGTGCTGGGATTACAGGTGTGAGCCACCATGCCCGGCCAAGCATGTTTCTAAGAAAAGGGCAAACAATTCTCAAAGAGGCCCCTAATATCTAAAATCAGTTTAGAATCCCTGCCCTAGGTGAATACAGGAAACATTCTCAAAACTAAAAGCGAACTTGTAGGGCATCTTAATCCATCAGCCAAGATGGGTACCAAGGCCCAAAACCAGGTAGAGGCTTGTGCAAGATCACAAGCAGAGGTGTAATTTGAAGCTAGATTCTCCCAGTCTTAAACTAGTGCTGGACAGACGGAGGCCTAGCACACTGGCTATGAGCCCTAGCAGATTCCTGTCCCCACATTGCGCCAGGAGGGGTCGCTGCCCAGGGATACCTACAGCCATACTCGAGCTGGACAAGGCGCACGCTCTTGGTGGAAGCAAACACGTCCACCACCGCGTAGAGGGGCTGCGCAGCTGGCAGCCCCCGGGCGCTGGGGCCCATGTCCTCGCCGTTGATGATGATGTGCATGTCGGCCGTGCCATCGGGGCGCGGGCAGAAGAGGACGCCCAGGCGGCTACGGCGCGCCGTCGGAGGCAGCACGTTCAGCTCATAGAGCTGGTCCAAGAGATGGCTATAGAGCCCTGGCCGACTGCGGCCCACCAGGCGGTCCCGGGGAATGCGAAACTGCTCAATGCGCAGATATGGTTCCACCAGGAGGGTTGGAGGTCGGCTGGGGGCCGCTGCCTCGGCCTCCGGGCGGCCCTCCCGGGGCACGCGGTTGTGGTGCCGCGTGATGGCGAAGACCCAGGTGTGGCCCAGGTTGACTAGGTCGGGCAGAGAAAACTCGGGAACGGGGGCCAGACTGGCGGGGTCCAGCGCCGTCAGACCAAGACGCAGATGTCCGCACCAGCCCAGCTCTTTCTCTTCGATCTCGACCAGGAAGACCTGGCCCGGGGCCAGGGGCTCACGGCTGAAGCACACGCCGTGGGCGAAGCTCTCCACGCGTGTGGCCCGCGTCCCAGAGGGGTCCACGCGGATGTTGTCACCGTGCACCCAATGGAAGCGGGTGAGAGGAGGCTCCGGGCGCGCAGGTCCCCAGAGTGCACCCGAATCCACGGGCTCGGAGGCAGCAGCCATCTCTCAGCCATAAGGCAGGCTGGCGGGCGCCGGGGGCTATTTTGGGCGGCGGGCTCAGATGGTGACCGCAGGGGGACCTTGTAAGGCATTTCCCCCCTGCCTCCCTTCCCCGAGCCTCTGCCCGGGGGTCCTAGCGCCGCTTGCTCAGCCATCCCGCCTAGAACTTGGCCGTCCACACCCGGATCATCTGATCGCGTGCGCCCGGGCTACGATCCGCGAGGCCCGCGGACCTTGACCCGGCATTGACCGCCACCGCCCCCCAGGCCGGTAGGGACCAAAGAAGGGGCGGGAGGAAGACTGTCACGTGGCTCCGGAGTTCACGTGACTCGGAGTACACATGACTTCTAGTCCCCGGGCGCCTCCTGGAGAGCAAGGACACTGGGGAGGAGAGGTGAGCTGGCACCGGAGGCTGGAGGGGATCCCCGAGCCCGGGATCGGTGCGCGGTAGAGGAGGCTGGAGGGTGGGAGCTGGCGCTGGGGTCGGGGCTTCCCTCGCGGAGGCGCAGCCAGCTTCTCCCCGGGGGCTGCTTCACGGAAGCGCTGAGGAGCGAGTCAACAGCCCCTCTTCTGCCTCCCGTAGATGATCCGAGCCGCGCCGCTGCTGCTGTTCCTGCTGCTGCTGCTAGTGTCCTGGGCGCCCCGAGGCGAGGCAGCCCCGGACCAGGACGAGATCCAGCGCCTCCCCGGGCTGGCCAAGCAGCCGTCCTTCCGCCAGTACTCCGGCTACCTCAAAGGCTCCGGCTCCAAGCACCTCCACTACTGGTCTGCCGCCCTGCCTCCCGGGCGGGACTGGGAGGAGAGATGATGGATGAGGGGTGGGGGGTAGTTCTGCAGACCCCTGAGGACGCCTGGGAGCCGGGAGGGCTGGAAAGGATCCCTGCAACTGCACCAACACTGCCCTGACCCCCCTTCCCAGGTTTGTGGAGTCCCAGAAGGATCCCGAGAACAGCCCTGTGGTGCTTTGGCTCAATGGGGGTCCCGGCTGCAGCTCCCTAGATGGGCTCCTCACAGAGCATGGCCCCTTCCTGGTGAGTGGACAGCAGGGGTAAAGCACAGTTCCTAAAGCAAAAGGCTGGGGAAAGGGAGAAACGGACTTTGTGATTTTCCAGAAAGTTTCCTTCCTTCTAAGTCTTGGGATTTTCCTCTATGCCATTGGCTTTGCTGCTTGTACCTCTCAGGGGTTTTGCCCACACGTAAAGTGCCTCTCACGGTGGCCCTTTCCCTCCACCCAGCTGGCCCTTGGGACTTACTCAGCCATCTCTTTCCTCCTCAGGTCCAGCCAGATGGTGTCACCCTGGAGTACAACCCCTATTCTTGGAATCTGGTATAGCTGGAGCTGTGGGTCCTGTGGGGGTGTCTAGGCACCTGGATGGGGTGGCAGTTGACTAATTTTTCCCTCCCTTCTAGATTGCTAATGTGTTATACCTGGAGTCCCCAGCTGGGGTAGGCTTCTCCTACTCCGATGACAAGTTTTATGCAACTAATGACACTGAGGTGAGTCTGGTGCCTGCCCATCTGCCCCAGGCTCCCCAGTCCTCCATCCATGGCATGATGCTGGGAG